TAAGAATTTCCTACAGTTTATAGAACAAGAGCTGCAGGTGGATGTTGCACACAGAGATCATCATGGTAAATTTCTCTACAATGATCAAAATGATCTGCAAAAAGCTCTGAATGTGTGTATATGGTGTAAATTCTGTATTTTTTTTCCTGCTTTGCCTTTAGCTGTTTTCCACTTTAGATTATTTGATTTGATTTAAAACAAATACCTGGAGCATTAATTAAAAACAAAAGGAATAAAAATAGTCTCAGAGCTCACTACAGACACTAACAATGGATGTGAATGTCTAGTGTGTAGTCAGGCATTGTTTACTCCTGTTGTATTTCAGATCAATGATGTAGAGAGCTGGGAATCTTTGAATAGCTGTAATCAACTTTTGCACTTGTCAGAAGGGAACTATTGTTCATGAAACAAATGGACTTTGATAGAAAAACAAGGAAGCATGCATGTTTTCCCATTGTCCCTGGCCCCTTTGCTCCGTTGGAAATAAAGAAAGTTGACTGACAGTAACTTTATCTTGCTGCCTGCTGAATCCTACCTGTGCGCTGTTCATTTGTCTCCAAGCTCACATGGAAAATTCAGCACAAGAGGCACAAAATCCAGGGTGACACTCTCCATCATGCTATCAGCTTTAGTCGAATGTCACTCATTGAGGTGGACAGTCAACAGAGAAAATGTTCCATTTTGTCCACTCAAGTGTCACTTCGTGATGGATGCCTTCAGAGCGAGCCCGGGCTGCGGCTCTGCTGCTGCCTGCGGGGCAGATGTGAAAAGCACCATGGATTTTAGCACTGCTTTTCACAGCTCTGGTGGAGATGCTATGTGAGGTCACAGAGGAGTAAATATAGCCCCAAGAGTGTTAAGGACATCGGTCTGGGTCCAGGCTCATGTCAGATGTGTCGTCCTTTTCCATGCTCTGGAGGGCAGGGAAACTAAGCATATCATTAGGGTGTACCTACTAGGATAGGACAGGTGAAGGGCAAGCAACAGCACTCATGTTATAGTGGGTTATAGGATTTTCCTATTATTGCAGTATAGAGATGTATGACTTGTCTTATCTAGGGTGCTGTGACTGCGGCTGTGGTGGCATTGGTCCCTGCCAACATTGTGCAGCCTGTCTTTAAAGTGGAAGCGCAAACAGTTACCACAATCAGTCCAAATGTCACCTACTATCATCTCCAACCTGCTAAACGCTTATTACATCTTGTCTGAGTCACAGCATACCATATGGCGGGTGATAAGATTTATAAAAAAAAAAAAAAAATCTTATCAGAGCTTCACTGCAGACACCCTGAAAAATATGTTGAAATAAAGCCTCAATTTTGAACAGATGTGCACATCCGAATTTGATTCATTGAGCGAGGATGTGCGATTGGCATTCTCTGCTATCTACGGTGGCGGTGCTCGTACTGATCTGCGTGCACGGTGGATAATATTTTGTCTTTAGCTGGGATGAATACAAGCCTGGATAAGTGAGTCTGCTGAATAAATGATGTTTATAATCATAGCCCTGGGTGTCAGCTAATGTGCCTGGGGAGACGCAGGGGAGGGAAGTGGGGGTTGGGAGATGAGGAGTTCCAATCATCTGTCCAAGCAAGTCCCTCCAAGGCAGATAATAATGTGGGTCTAAACTGCAGCACGGGTGGGTAATGGGATTGTGAGCACGCTGGCCTCCTGCTGGATAAGCTCCCCTGATAGCGCCGCTGACCTCCTCACCGCTAGCTGGGACAGGGAGTCACAGCATGGCTCTGTTTGGTGTGTCTGTGTCTGTGTTTAGGTTGCAGGTGTCATGTATGAGACAAAAGGGCAATGGTAGGTGTGATGGTGGGAAGGTGAAAAGGTAGGTGTTCACATTTCCACAGCCAGAAAGTATAGGGGAGGAACAAATAAAAACAAGGGTCGAATTTGCTGTGATGAAACAGGGAGATTTCAGAACACTCACTGAGTTACCAGTGTGTATACAGGAGTTTAATTCTGGCACATACAGAAAATTTTGAAGCAGCAGGATCACAGATTAAACACTGTTTTGACGGTGAGTCATATTAAGTTGCATGCAAATCAGTTCCAGTCACCCTCCTGTATCCCTCTGTCACCTCTCTGTTGGTTAGTTTCAACTTGTGATTCTTGTACCTCTTTTTCAAAGCAGCCCGCCTCTGTTGGCCGATGTTGTAATGATTTTCCAGACAGTGCCTCTTGACATATTGAGTAATTTTACAGTTTTTTTCAGGTCTGGACACAGATGATTTCTCCTTTTTGGACCTCGCCTGGTTGCCTCGTGCTCCTTTGAAAACTTGCATATCAAGCTACTTTGATTGCCAGACCTCTTCAAGGGCTGACATATGCTGTTAATTAGCATTCAACCGAATGTAACGCACCTTTGCAAATGTGTTTAACTCAAAGTTAAAGTCATTTTTCTTGAACTTGAAAGGTCATAAAGTGAAGTGAAGGTTTCTTCATGCTACTATCATCAAATTCTGCCCAAAGCTTTGATGATAACTGGCTGACTCGCTTCAGTGGAGAAGGGTTGTCACCCCCATAATAAAGATGTTCCTGAGCTGCACTTTTAAAGGAAACTGTGGCCCATCCTGAACGCCCTTGGCCTTTAGTGACAAAATTGTTTTTCAGTAAATTCTTTTTTGAAAACCCTTTTTTGTCCACGAGCACCTTCTGATGCCAGAGGGTGCAGAAATAGAAGATCAAACTAAAACAAGATTAACTTCCTAAAAACTCAAACAACTTGACTCCCATGATGCTTCCTTTTGGTCCCTGTCACGTAAGCTGTAACTGTATTTTCAAACAACAAATAACCTCAGCAATGGATTTATGTGTTGGACTGATGTGTGCGACAGCTTAGAAGAGAGAGAGAAAAAAAAAAAAAAAAAAAAAAAAAAAAAACCAGAGCACTATCTAAATGAGGCATAATAGATGTGAGGGTGACATAACCATGTTGAAGGGATGTAAGCAGCCTGACAGGAACATTGCTTCTAGCAACTCCTGTGTTGCATTAGTGATGATTTTCCAAGAGGCGCTTACAAAGAGTCTTCTTAGCTCTCTCCTGAGCCCCGGCCAAACCCGGAAAAGCCCCAAAACAAGAGGCCATGTGCACACAGGCAAACGCTGCCTGACACAGCTTCATACATTGTTATTCACAGCCCACCCTCCACAGTGGCCAAATCTATCTCGCCCCCCCACTTCTAAAAAAAATATAGGTCATTCTGGTTCTAAAAATGGCTGCCTCTCCCTGGGGCTTGCCAGAGCATGAAATAGACTTTACATCACGTTAGCTGAGCAACAGCAACCAAGAAACTTTCCCCCTTTTTTTTCTTTTTTTTTGTTGTTGCTCATTTTTCATCCCCTTTTGTTGCTGTAAGCTAACATATGGCAGTTCTCTCACTCTCGGTTTATGACCTGAATAAGATATCAGCGGTTTGCCAGGTTTTGGCATATGACAGGCGAGGCTGAAGTCATGTAGAGATTTAGATAATATGGTTGCGGAACACTTTACAATGCTTTCCACCTCTGCCTTTCAGACTTCCCCCATGCTGATAAGCAGGAATTCGGGGGTGGATTTCAAAATGCTTTGGATTTGCGCAAAGTGCCTGCTGATATGGCAAAGGGAGTCACATGACAGACAGCACAATTACTCCCTACCTGTTTGTAATGCTCCCCATCGTCTCAACCACTGGCAGATGAATTACAACAATATCTACTCTTCCTTTGGGTAGTGGCTGCAAAGCTGAGAAACACAATATGCAAAAAATAAGCTGCTCTTGCCTCCATTGTGGCTTTGACAACTTAGACTGCAATTTATGTAGGGAAACTCTCTCGCAGCAAATTGGATAATGCATTGAGGTTATATTTGCTGTTGTTTAGAGTTTATACATTTCCAGATGCTCTTCCTCCTCGACTGTATTGTCTCATTTTATTTATTTTTTCCATCATATCCACCTCCTTCCTGTTCAATGTACAAAGTCCCCGGTGGCTGTGCCTTGAAATGGCCTCATGTTTATTTAAACTTCGAGGGTGGCTGCAGAGCGCCTGGTGCCTCATTCGTTTTCTGTGGTGTTTTCCTATAGCCAGCCAACCCCGGAGCCATTCATCAGCTGGGCTAAGTGTAGCTACAGCGCAGAGGGCTAAACAGCACTTCACCACAATGAGTGTGACATCAACTCTCCACACAAACCAGCGGGTGTGTCAAAGAGAAGCACAATTACAGAGGAGAAGGAGAAGGGAAGAGGTGGAGAAATGACCATGGAGAGAGACAGAGGGGGAAAAAAAAGGGAGGGAGAGAGAGAGAAAGAGAGGCAGTGAGTGTCAGTCATGTAGCTTCTAATTTTGGTTCTGGCTCAAGCACTACTTTGTTCCACCACAGGCTTTTATGCTACGAGCATGAGCTGGCTCAAGACAGACAGAGACAGAGAGAGAGAGAGAGAGAGAGACAGCGAGAGACAGAAGAGCTATTGAATTAGCAAGGACTATACTCCACACACACCAAAAATACTACGTACGCACACACGCACACAAAAATAATGAGCAGGAAGAGCCGAGTTAAAAAATAAAATCCATACGGCAATGAGTATGTATGTATGTGAGAATGCAATATGGTTTATGTTTTTAGAATTAAAGCTCCTCTGAATGTTTGACTTGAAAAAAAAAAAAATCCACGCAGCCACAGTAAATTCTTATCAAAAATGATCTCCACCAAATATGGAAAGCACTGGACTGGCATCCTAGCTGAGTGGAGCGCACAACAAAGGGAACCCGCGCTAGGATCCAAATCAGAGGAAAGATGAAGATATGAAAGATCAAAATCGAGGAGGAGGAACGAGAAAAAAGGAATGGGAATTGGCAAACACTGATATCCAGCTGTGCCACATTGAATTAAAATTTAAAAAGGTAATATGTAAGTTACACGGTCAATTATGAAAACAAGATTGAGACAGAATCAAGAAGAGTCCACACAGAGCGTAATTGTATATATCTATATATATATATATCTTCATTTATTTTAATATTTAAACCCACTAAAAGTTGTCAATACAACTTTTGAATGAAAGGCACAGGAAAAATCAGACAATGCTGATATAATACTCAAAAGAAAAATTACAGTACAAAAGTGAACAGTTAGTTATGCACGTACAAATCCCTCCAGGTTCCTCCAGACAGGGGAAAAACAGAAATATATCTAACAACAAAGGAGGGGGATGCTCCAAAACCAGAAATACATTAGCCAAACCTCTCTTTATTGCTTTTCCAAACTGACAGGGGTCACATCAGCTCTCTTGGCCTTGCAGGAGACCAAAAGCAACGGCTCTGATGTTTGAGTGACTCATATTTACTAGATTATTGGCCTGTTCATTGACCGTGCTACACAACACTCCACTGGGACTTTAAGAGTCTGAGTCACAACTTCAAGACAGATGACGTACGCAACATATGGGGTGAGAAGGGGGGATTTCTTTTTTTAAACGTTGAGGAAGATTTCTAATAATCTATTCCCCAATGAACCTATATTTGGGATTATGCTTTAATTAGCTGGTCCTCCGAATGTAAAATCAACCCGACCACTAAGCGGTGCATTAGTGTTTAAATATTCAACTGAAATTCCGGGCCTGCAAAACCTAAAGGTACAGGTCAGAAGCCGGTTCTGGAGCAAGGAAAAAAAAAAAAAAAAAAATAGGATCTGTTCATTCCCTTTATTACACCATTTGCTTGATAGAGCTTATGGCACCCAAGACTGGTGGGAGACGTTTAACAACAGGATTCGTTTATCGATTACAGACATTTAGAAAGAGAATCTGGCACTGGAGGCCAGTTTTATGGTGTTTTTCAGTCCTCTTAAGAATCACTTCATTTTCCCGTTTTTTCTTTTTTTTTTTTTTTTAAGTTAAGCCTTTTCAACCTTATTGCAGAGAAATGTGTTTGGGCCGAACTCATCATCATTTATCAATCCTAAGGGATATTAGCAAAGCATTGGGGCTTGTGTGAGAGGAAGTATTGGCAATCTTTGTCTTGGTACTGAGGAGAAAGTCAGTTGCCGGCCTGCTGGCTCATAAGAAGATTGTGTACACATTAAGGTTCCTTTGGACAGCTCTAGTGGGGAACAACTGGAGGGAAAGGTGCTGTCACTGTACTGCTCGGGGTTTTTAATATTACATACAGCCTCTTTGGTATAGGCACATCTGCATCAAGGGGTCACCACTGTCCAATTACCCCTTTCCTTTTCCTATGTACCACTTTTTCACTCTCTCTGGTTCCTATTAAAAGGGAAAAATAAAACACTCCAAAAAACAAAAAACAAAAAACATAAAGATGATTGCCACAATCCTGGAACCTGGAAATCGAGTGATTGATTGAAGTAGCAGGAAATTGGACTTATATAGCCGTCGAGGGTTTTCTTTTTCTTGAAAAGCCAAAACCCAACCCCCTGCCTCTCTCTGCTCTACCCGCAGTAGCTCGGCCATCCCTGCTGCCTGAAATTGGGAGATTCATGCTACCTCCACCTTCCCTGCAGCCATGCTACAGAGGAAAAAAAAAAGCCATGGCACAGCAAAAATGTAAACGCACCAATCTACTTAAATTCAGCCCTGGAAAAATAAAATGAAATAAAAAAACCAACAAGAGATCCTGGGGGCATAATGAAACAGGTGTTAGGGTTTAATGTTATAAAACACAACAGTTCTGATGAATCGAGGAGTGAACGGCAGGATGGATGTGTTCAGGGCTGAGTGATGTTGCTGCTGTTGTTTGCCTGGACGCTCTGGTTTGCGTTAGCCTGGGTCCAGTGAAGGGTGCGTTCACCAGAGCCCCCCCCCCCCAAAGAGATGGCAGGACCACCCTGGTAGAGGAGAAGTTACTTCTATCCCTTCTCTATCCTGGTTCTAACCAGAATCTCTTAGCGCCACACTCCTCTTTCACACAGGAGCAAAGTCAGGTAAAAGCTTGAGCTTTAACAAATCTGCTTTGAAGTTTGATTCTTACACTTCCTGATGCAAGACCTCTAACACCTTCCTGCTCCAGCGCACAAAAGGGAGCGAATGACATCATGTACAAGAACCAGGATCTTAAGAGTCCAGAGATAAAGAGTACAGGATCCAGTCTCTCAGTGCTTAAGGCTAACGCCGACTCCATTCATTACCTGGCCGTAGCAGAGGAGGAAGCGGCAGCTAGCTGTGTGAGGTATTCGCGCAGTTCCTTTGCCGCCTGGAAGCGGCCGTAGCGCTTTTTGGGTTTGGTGCACTCGTCCAACAGAACCTCGAGTTGTCCATCTTTGGCTATGTGGGCGGGAGGGTCGTGGAGGAGGCCTCCAGTGGTGCCCCGCCACGTAGCGTACCGCGATAGCAGGTTCTGGCAAACAGCATAGTAGTTGTGGTCCACAGTGACCCTGGAACAAAGAGAGTCCTTGGAGAAAGACAGGCAGGCCTCCCTGTCGCACTCCTCAAAGCGGCTCTCATACCACACGTCATAGTTTTCTGGCTTGTCTGCAGGGAAACAGAGAGACAGTTGAATTAACACGCGGCTGTAAAAAAAATATACTGATCGTAAAAAATAGTCAATTATGTTGATGGAGTCGTGGATGCATAACATTCATTTCAAATATATAAAAGCATTTACTGGATCATAATCTTGTTTCTTACAGCTTTCATCAGGTGAATATGTACTGAGATCAGGACGTTAGGTCTTGTAAAGTTTGTCTGATGAAAATCATACAGCCACGAGGTCCTGAATTTATTGCAGAGAAAAATGCATTTAAACATTTTTTGTATATGGCTTAGGAGCTCCAACCAGCCTGTAGTTTACATTGTAGATGGCCTCTTTTTTGTGTCATGAGAATTTTTCTCCTGACCATGAAATTTGAAACAGAACTGATCTTAAGTGATAACAGTCAACTGGTCAACCGCATCTGACTAAAGAATAATAGTTTTTCAATGTTGTGCGCAAATTATAACCCAAGACATCAACCTGACCAGACGCTGACAGGACCAAGGTGCCACTTTTGACATCCCACGGGCACTAAAACGAAATTCGTTTTCAAAGCACACAGCCAAACAACTCATCTACCGTTTCATTTGACAGAAATGAACCACTTTCCAGATTTATTGAGCAAATAAAATTCTTTCTCAAGCTCATTTCACGTTGCTTTTTCTCTTAAGGGGATTGTGCGGGGGGGAAAATAACCTGGAATGATGAGAGAGCTATTGGTTTGTGCGTTAAAAAGCAGATCAATAACATAGTTGGGAGGGGGACGGACCCAGAGGATGCAAACACATAATCAGTGTATCAGCGTTGTAATGCACTTCTCCTCTGGCTCATCAGAACAGCTCAATCAAACATCCAGCGCTGCCCTGTTAGCAAGGGGCCCATGTGGCCCCCCGAAGAGGAGGGGCACATCAACCTCAATCAGTGTAGGTGATGAAGATGGATCTGCCTGTGTATGCATGCCATGAGCGTGCACGTGCGCGCACACACACACACACATATTTAAAGAGATACACGCAAAAGCAGCAAGGTGAGGTGAAAGCAATTAATGTTTCAGAGCTGGCCATGCATCACACCTCAGCACTGATTGACAGATGGCATCAGGAGACTGTCCTATTCTTGTTCAATCGCACTGACGCGCGCACACACACACACACAGACACACACGCAAACAGAGTGCCTCAAAAGAACAGGAGGGAGGAGAAGGTTCATGCTCAGGGATGAAGATGAGCACAGCAAAAAAAAAAAAAAAGCACTTTGAGGCTCAACTAAAAGCAAAAAGAAGTCTGAGGTCTATTTGCTTGTACCTCAATCCCCTCTGTTCCATTCTAACAGCAGGACTGAGTGTAACAAAGCTACAACATTTCCAAAGCAAACAAAATCATTTCCAATTCAAATGAGCGGGAGAGCAGTGGACAGGCTAGGCTGTCTAGTCTCTCGTGTCTCCTTCGTATGTGGAATCTTCCATGTTAAGGAGCTCAGGTCGTACTTGTATACATTCACCTCACTCCTCTGCCTTCTCAGGGCTGAGCCGAGGAGGGACATTGGGCCTGAAATGCTTGTTAGCGTGGCCTTACTGGTGACATTCAAAAGTACGAACCGGTTTTCACAATGCACGCCCGTGTGGGAGTGCATTATTGAAAGTGGGAGAAAGAGAGAGAGAGACTGCGTGTGTGTGTGTGTGTGCGCGCGTGTGTCAAGTGCTGTTGCATGTGTGTTTGTGTAAGTCAGTCAGCGATCGTGTCGAGGAGGGAAGAGAATGAGAGTGAGTGAAGTGTGTGTTACATTATACAGCATGTATTTCCAAAAACCACTGGGGGTGAAACCATCCTCAAACGCTATAAACCCAATGATGGGGAATGGCTCCTTTCGCACCACTGGACTGTGCAAACACACCGCGCACGGCACAACTTGAACACGGCATGCATTTTATCTTGCCGCAAACCCGCCGCATCAATATGGATGCCCCTAACGAGAGGGTGGAACGGCGTGTAGCTTTCTGCGCGTTTGATTTGCAAATCAATTGGCCTCAGTTTAGACTGATGAGATTCGCACCACACACACTTGAACTCGCTTTCAAACTTGGGCTCTAATTGTAGGGATCGGATTCTCTGCTTGTTGGAGCCTTGGGAGGTTATAGTGCCCATTTCCTACTGCTGTCCGACACATGGCCGTGACCTCGTAATGCTCATTACCGCCGTCATCCCTCTTCGTCCTGCTGCAACCTGGCTCTTGGCACACACACAGACACACACGGACACACACACACACACACACACACAGATCCAGGCCCACAAACACACAAGAAGCACATAAACATTCTTGAGGCTTAAACCCTGAATGGCGAGGGTAAGCAGCTTGAGTTGTCAAGCTCTAAATGTGTTGGCCAGACAAAGGGAGTCTCAACCTGGATTGTGCTTCGGGACTTGCAAAGGGCTAGTGTGACAGGGTGGAAAATTGCAGCTATTGGTAAAAACCAACAAACAAACATAATCGCACAGGAAATCAAGTATAAACTCAAGGGGAGAAACTACAGGGCATGTTGGCAGACCTTGACATGTTGTACATCTATTTGTGGTTTTCTGGTGTCAGATTTTATAATTTGGCAAAACAGCAGTTTATCTCAGGATTAATTCATCACAACACTTCCCCTCTAACTTAAAAAAAAAAAAAAAAAAAAAAAAAAAAAAGTGTCCACACACAATTTGTTGCGCGCACACACACACACATTCAGACAATAGTTCATATCTGTCAAAGGGCACAATGGTCGAACCTCAACACCTAGCGACACAACAGTTTATCACTTTAATAGGATTTCCGCAGGACGGGACAAATCTCAGAGCCTGACTGGGTGGTCGTCCCTCTCTCTGAAGTAACTCCAGGAAGGGGGGCTGAGGTGGAGGAAACTGCCACACTGAGTGTGTGATGTATGGCTCTCTCTGTCCTTGTTATGAGGTTTATTCTGAGAGGCAAAAAAAACTAGGGCAGAGGAGATGGCTTGTTATCTGAACTATCTTTGCTTTGATGGGGACGAGTGTGTTGAAGGCAGAAGGGCTGCTGGAGGCATGTATTCTTAGAAGAGAGGAGGCTTCAAGCATGTGCAGATTTGCCCACAGCCGTCTGTCCCTCGAGGCCTTTACTCAAACCTTCGTCACTGCCTCATAAGCTACAGTTGGCTGTTACAGTCCTCACATTAAGTGCAGAGCTTTCTAGAGAATCCGAGCTCTGGTCAATGTTTAAATCACACTCTGGCTTTTGGAAAGTCTGTAATACTCAATTAGACTTTGGAAAGGAGGAACAGCCACTGCATGATTAGTCTTATTATGAATAAAATTAATGGTTAATTATCACTTTTTTTCATTTAAGAAAAGCAATAAATCTCAAACAAGTATTAAACCACCAATGACAGCTCTATAATTTGAGTGTGAAGTAGCCTTAAGTGTTAATGTAAATAGTATGCTGTAAAAATGAGCAGCATTTCTCTTATGGCGCCTCCGAGGTGGTAATGTTTAAAGTGTGATAGACGTGCAATCTGCGGGAACAAAGACAAATTGTCATAGCGATTGGGGTAATAACTATCGGGCATTATTCACAGACGTATGAAGATACACCCACACACAGAGTACATGTGTGTTCAGGTAATGATGGACGCTGCCACTCACTCTGCTTGATCAGCCTTTTGTCTGCCACGAGAACGTTCTCGGCGTCAACAACGATAACCTTTCCATCGCGTGGGCCGACTGCAAAGTTATCAAAGCTGACATCGAGCAGGTAGAGGGCAAAATCAAAGTCGTTGTTGGTGAGCTGCTCGGCGATGTCCATCAGCTGGCGCGCCAAGTCGACCCTCTTCTCCCAGGGTGCGTTGTAGAAGCTCCACAGCTCCTCGCCCACGTAGTTGACAGCTACCACACGCCCACATGCTCCCAGGTACTTGGCGAATGGCCACCCTTCGTCTGAAGGAAAGCTCTGGGAAGGAGAGACAAATGAGAACAGAAATTGTTGATTTAGAAACAGAGATAAAAGAAGTCAAGCTGTGTAGAGTAGAGTTGGCTGAAAGAAATACCCCATTGGCTTTGAAAAAACAGAGGCTAAAACATGAATTGTGAGAACCTTCAGGTTGTCAGAAAATATTTGTTTATCTTGCACAGAAATCAGTTTCTCAGTACAGAGAGGCAAAAAAAAAAAAAAAAATTCACAGAGACCAATCACAAAGTTGCCATATGCAGCCTTGGGTAGTTGTTGATACACAATTTTAAGTACAATAGTTGAAAGTCTGCCAAAGGATCACGTGAAACAAAGCCAGCACTGGGTATAACAGATTAAATTTAATAAAAGAAAAGGGCCAGTTTGTGTTAAAGCCCTACAGCTATGAGCTGATGTACGCTGCTAGACTCGCTGCTTCCAGAGAACTGATAGGAGGTGATTTGTGGTAAGCAGCCGTTAGCAGGAAAGCCTGATGTGTTGTGATGCAGCAGCGGGGTGATTTAAACTGCAGCATGATGTTGGCTAACCAAGTTAATGCAGTTTGGGCACGCTGACAAGAAATCGCTGTGTATTACGGGTTAAAACCGACTGATAATAACGAGGTAATACCGCTAGCAGGAAGTGGTATCACTGCTGCTGCACAATACCCTAATCTGTCTCAGATTTACTCCACTTTATTGAGGTCAAATGAAAACAGGCACACATGCGCCATCATCTGCAATCACTCAAGGTCAAGCGGTAACGTCTGCACTGGCAAACACACGCACGCACGCAGACAAACACAAACACACAGACAACTTAAATGAGTTGGGCATAAAGTGCATTTGGAAAACTTGTTGGGCTGCTAAGGGACTGGGTTTTGTAGGTCTCATTATTGCTTCCATCTCTCTCTCCATGAGCTCTGGTGTCTCACACTTTCCCTACATCTCTTTCCCTCCTCCTCATCCATTTCATTGCCACAGGCTATCACAATGTGTGGACAAATTAATGGAAAATAATACAATGAAATCCCCCTTTTTTTTTTGCAGCCCACATGCGTTTTGCTACAAGTGATAAGCTCCCATCTTTTACAATAAACCCTCCTGCCATAGGCTTCTATCTTTTACAATAAACACCCGGGCATATGCTAGCTTAATGATAGCCCACAATTCCTATGTAACAAATCTCTCTTAGGCTGCTGTTTCTGGCAGGCAGCCACCGCACAGACACAGACAGAGAACCAGGAGCACTCGTGTTTCACGGCAGCCTCAGCAGCCCTCCCTCTCTGAAACCCAATTGTATCGGAGATATGGCAGGGAACACACCATGTTGCTGCAGGTAAGGTGTGAACTACTATGACTGTTGCGTCTTACTTTACACATGTGGTAATTCAATACCTCACCAGCTTTCAATTTCTGCCATGGGACAGGAGGGGGTTAAATATGCATGGCTGCCCTAACTCCCTTGAAACTTTAATGGAATACAAATTATTTAAAAACATATATTTTTTAAGTCTGCTGTATCTCAAAGACACCAGCTGGACTCTTGCCACATAGAGACTTTGGCATTGAGGAAGTGCATTTGACAAAGAAACCATGGTTTGGTGGCGATGCAGTAATTTGCAGGTTCATTAATATACCACTGACTAGTGCCGAGACATTTTTATCTCAGACACTCCTCAAACTATGCTGCTCTTAAAGCTGCTTTATTACACCCCTTGACTGGGCTATAATTTGCTAAGTGTACTGAAGGACAAAGCATATGTATCCTACCTGTTCTATAGTACGTGATACAACAAGCTGATTGCAATTCTAAGTGAGGGCTAAGAATGCCAAGGGGTCCTTGACTGGACAAACAACCTTGGAATAATCTTAAGGATGAAAAATTGAAATCTTGATGCAACAGCGGCAAAAACAGAGGCACACTTTCACAGTCTATTCCAGTCTGTTTTAGCGGTGTAAATCTATACCTTGGGCGAATCTCATGTTCCCATCAGTTTTAAGAAAGATCCACCACCAAAAGGGGAGGACAATGATAAGTTGCATGCAGTGCAGTCTTGGTCGAGCCCATTTCCCTGAGGTGACCCAATCAATTGTGAGCCAGACAAAAGTCTGTCCAGAGAGCACTACTGGCTTCCAGCAGCCTGTCTGTCTGTCTGTGCCTGCCGTCCTTAGACTTGGCAATGACTCACCGAACTTCCCTAAAACTCTTGGCTTAATAGCCTTCCTCTGCATTTTCTGATGTTACAAAGTTGACAGGAAGAAGAATCTGAGGAAGTAGGCATGTCTCAAAAAGAAAAAACAAAAAAGAAAAAAAAAAAAAAAAGTGAGGGATTCCAGCAGATACCAAGAAACAAAGGATAATGGTGGACTGACTGCACTGAATACCGGCTGGAAAAGAGACAATCCAGGACTACTGAGATACTGCTAGCTAACAAGCATCGTGACATATGAGATTTTAGGATTAGAGACTTAACAGGCTAAATATCTAAAATGGCTTTCTAATTTCTGAAGTTGGTATTGAAAGATTAGGTTGAAGCTGGATCAGTTGGTGGTACATCCCTATTAGGCCCGCTTCCCTTCGACCCAGATTCAAACCTCAGATCGCTTTATGTTGCTGCAAATCTAAGCGGCTCTTGGTCTTGTTGACAAAACTTAGCCTGTCCAATGTTGCGGCTAAACCTGCGATGTAAAACACTATCCTCCCTCTCTCACCCCTGCAGGGTGGATGGATAGATGTGGGGAAGAGGTGGCGGGGGAGGGTGGCGGGTGGGAGAGCAAGAAAGGAGAAGAGAGAATACGATGGAGACAGCAAACAGAAGACACAAACAGAGTGTCTTTCACTTCTCCGCTCCAGTGGACAGGAGGAATAAACCAGCAAAGACCTGCCTGCTAAACACATCTCTCTCTTTGTTGTCAGGTTGCAGCCTGAATGGGAGCAAAAGTAGAGCGGCGGCAGATGGGGGGGGTGGGGGGGTTGGCTGATGGGAGGGAGGAGAAGGATGAATGCCCTACGGCTACTTTCAGACACTGTCAATGGCTGTTATGAGAACGCCTTCATGTCTGTGCGGCCCTCGTCCGCGGTTCCTAACATAGCTGTCGCTCACTCGCTGCACTGACAGGCTCAGTGCGCCGCGTCAATTACCGGGGTCCTGACAACTCATACCTTGGTGCCATTTTTTATGAGCTTCCTTTATTTAAGTTTTATATACAGAAGTCTAAAGGTGAGAACTACTGAACAGTGTAGGCAGGCACATGGAAGTGGGTATGAGAGCTTTGGATTCATACGCGCCCAATGCAGGGGTTGATAAATACTCCACGTGTCCCACCAATCATTCTCCCTTAGCACCCTTTAAACGGTTACTCTGCAGAAGTCATTAACATCCGCAATGAGGCGTTGAGGAGGGGGAGAAATAAATTGGAAAGCCCAGCCTAATATTACATCCACGGCATTATCTCCGAGCAGACTTGGGAGGTACTGAAGTGTGTATGTGTGGGGACTGCACAGGTAGTGAATTTCTCCAGGTGTCTCCCAGTGATGTTATGCTATTGGAAAATGCTGAGGTTGCAAAACTGCCAATGACACATCCCAGCAACTTTTACGGCTTTAAAGGTCTTATCAGCTCTTGTCCCTGACATTGGATAAAAACCTTTTATCTCCTGCTTAGTAAAACCTTTAACTTATAGACCTGGTGCCAGATGCTCTTATTTTCGGTACATTTTTTATTTAATTTTTTTTCTAAAATTTCTTGTAGCGTTACAGAAATAATGAGCCTGGCTCAGGAGACAATGAAAGCAAGGGTGGAAAACAGACCAAAACAGATTCTTCTCATTAAAGACGACCTCACAGTGACTTCTAGGCCCAAGTCTGACTAATCTAATCCTGAAAGGTTGTGCCGTTGCACTAGAGTAGCATTGACTGGGGGTGTTTGTGCTTTCCACTCCCCTCCCTGTAATACAACAGACACACGGCATCCTCTTGGGGGGAGATTGGAGTGGGCTGAAATGAAACAGGGCCACAGACAAATGGGCAGCCTCTGGAGAAGAGGATGAAACGAATGGAGCGAGAGGCACAGGAACACACACCTGCGTCCTGACATCTGCTGACAAAGGCATGCCCTTCTACTGGACCACTCGGGGGAGGGCGTGGGCGTGTGTGTGTGTGTGTGTGTGTGTGTGTGTGTGTGTGTGAGAGAGTTCGAAAGAGGCTCTTTGTGCATGTGTGCATGTGTGTGTGTGTCTATGTGAAACTGGATCCGAGTGCATGTGAATGAGAACATGCAACGTGACCAGGGCTGATAACGACCTCTATTCAGGGGCCGAGTAAACATGAACAGCTCCCAAGATATTGCTTTGGCTGGCCCGCAAAGGACGCTGTTCCATCAAACACGCATATACATACACAGATGCGCACACACGCACACGCAAATATGGTGGACACACAGCTGTGATTATAAATGCAAGATTTAAAAGGAATTCAGTCGCCTTCATCCTGCAACCACAACTACTTACAGCAAGAAGGAAATTAGTAGTTTGCCACGGAGGTGTTTCATGTGTGCAGCTCGTGAAAGCCCTGAGCAGGGTGTGGTGTAAATTCTCAACATTTTCTGTCCTCGACAAAACCCCACCGCTTCACAGCAAACAAGTTGGGACAGGACTCGTCGAGAGTCCGGGGATCAAACGGTAAAGTTGAGGAAGCGTGGCGGACAGGCACGTTTAGTCAGAACACAACAGCAGCAACAGCAACAAGAAAACCCCTTTCAGCCACGATGTTGCAAAATGAACATTATTCAGCCTGTTTATCAAAGGGGCTTAGCGTTAAGAAGGAGACACATCTGCTCTGCAAGGCTGGGTCTGCCAAGCTGGACTAGAAAAAACATGTCGCTTTACTGTGCAGCTCTCCTGTTGACCTTGTGTATCTGGAGGATGTGCGGCGAGCCCCGTCTGGCATTTTGCTGGCCATTTAAGTTTAAAATCCAGTTGGTTAGTCCGCAGCGAGAGCTC